AATAAATCTAAGGAAATTCTAAGTTATTAAAAAAGAAGGTAAAATAAATAATTGCTGTATTCATATTATCTTGTAAATGATAGATTTTATATTTTATTCTTGATATTTTCTTTTAAAGTTTCAAATAATTTATTTAAAAATCATTATCAATTTTTTAAAAGTTTCTTTTACTTTCTGATAATCTGAAATTACCCAAGTTCTTCTTATGTCGTTCTCAGTATTAAAAGAATTCCATAAAGAAACTTAATCAAGGTATTTATTCCTTTTTTCAAAGTAATTATTTCTTAAAAATTCACTTTATAAAAGTTATTTTAATTTTCAAAAGATTATTGTTATTTCATTTTTTAATAATATATGATTTCAATATATTAAATATTAATAATTTATAATGTTTCCTAATGATATTCGAATTGTGATCAAAGTGGCCAGATTAATCTTTCTGCAGTAATTTTTTTATTAAATTCGAGACTATAGTGATTAAAAGTCTAAATAAATTAATATTTTTGCGAGCAAGATTTAGGTAAAATTGGATATTAGGACTTGTTGATGTAGTTCTAAAAAATAAATTTTAAATTATGAAAGCTTAAATAAGAAAAATATATCATTTATATTCAATTATTTTTATAAATTAACTTATTGATTTTATTTATCGGCCAGACATTTTCATACTTATTTAATAGTGATTACATTTATTCAATTTAAAAAATATTAAGCTCAAGTAAATTTTTTGTAATCCTCCTAAACCAGATTTACACAAATATATCTTTATCTCACCAAATCAAGAATAACATGATTGAAATCGTATAAACGAACTTTAATTTAGACTTATGATTGAGATAATTAGATGTATAAGTGCTTTCTGTACTCTTTTTCATATTTTAGCTTTCTGACAATTATGTACAATAAGACAATAAACCCTTATAGTAAATTTGGAGAGTCGACAGCATAATGATTAAATAATTAATGTAAACTTTTTGATTTATATTTTACTCATCTTTTCTAATTATTATAAATAGATTTAAATTTTTTAAATAATTTCCAACATCTACAAAAAATGATAACATTGATTATTGTTGAATGACTCCATGAATTTATTTTAGCATTTCTTCTGATAGTCTTTTTAGTTCAGAATTTAGTTTTGATGAGAGCCATCAAAATATATCATGAATAAATCAATTTACTTCGAATATCAAGTGCCTAAAAAAGGCTTAAGAATAAAATGAAATAATCAAAGTAATTCTAATGAAATAATTAAATTAGTATACTATATCGGTATATTTATATCTGATAAAAATTACAATTATAATTATATCATTTTCAAAATTATTAGGAACTAGAAAATTTATTTAACAAAATAAATATTTACACAGGATAACTTTGTTATGTATAGATTTGTGAATGAGAATATTTTTGGGTAAATTAAAACTTATGTCTGTAAAAGAAATAAAGATGCATGGAATACATTTAACTAATAGAAATTATAGAATATTTAATTTTTTTTTATATGCTCTCTAAGAGATTATCTTAAAATATATTTTAATTCTCAGAAGTAAGCAGAACATTTCATTATGATTTATGAGAATATAAAAATTACTTTTATTTTGATTGAATAATTTAGAAAATTGATATATTTAATATTATAAATCAGTAATCTTAAATAATGATGCCGACAACATATTAAATATTTTGATATTTTAACATTGATCCAAAAATTTAATGAAGTATTAGAAAAAATAAAAATACAATATCTAAAATATAATCTTCTATTTTTTTTTTCTTTGTTAATACAGTTTTAGGATGCTTGTTCATCTTACATAAGTGTCCTAAATTTATCTTCAGAAATAAAAGCAAATAGAGGAAATTATTATTTGTTATTGATAGAAGCGGTTCAATGGAAGGATTAAGAATAAATAAAACAAAGCAACCATTAGTTTAATCTAAAAAAGTATAATCAAATTAACGAATATTCATTAATATGATTAACTAGAGATGAAATTAAAGCATAAATGATTTACACTTTTAAATTTGATGCCATTAATTTAGATTAGGTCTAGAGTAACTTATTACTTATAATTTAATAAAGCCCAGTAGAATAAGTTAATGGTTTTCATTGAAAGAAGAAAATATTAAAAAGAAAATTGCCATGAAGTTTGAGTTTTTAATATTTGATTTCCACTCCAAAATCCTAGATTGGATGAAAGCTGCAATTAAATTTTATCTAAAGTAAAACCCAGAATTGATGGTACTATTTTTAGATAAAAATAACTAGAGTTACCTACCTGTTATATATTGAACTGGCTTATAAGAATCATATGCAGCTTATTGTGATCTTAAATAGCGTGATATAAGGAATATCGTAATAATCAAATCTCAGATGATTTTAACTACTTATGATGATCATTAGCCTTTTTATCAAGTATGTAGAGTGTGCAGCTACTTGAGTAATGAGCCTTCATTCTTGATTGATGATGATGTAATACATTAATTAAGTGATTTTTAAGAAAAAACCACTGAATCAATTAAGGTAACTTAAAGATTAAGATTTAAATGAATACTAATAAGATCAAATTTAATTTACTTTAATTTCATTTAAGAAAATTCCTTATATAATAACATAAAATAATCAATAAGATTAAGTTCAATAAGGAGACTTAAAAATGAAGATATGATCAATTAATCCATCCAAATCATATCTTAGCTTCCATATGCTAAGTTTGTCATTAGGAAAAAGAATTTAACTAATTAATTAAAGAAACAACATCTCTTTCAAAATCAAAAATTAAAAAAAATTACAAAAAGTAAGATTATAAAACTTATTATACTATGATGTATCAATCAGATTTTATTTGTAATGTTTTTTATGATTATGTATGTGAGAAAAAAACTGTTTGAAGACTCACTTAAAAGGTCTTTCCACAAATTCGCTTACATAATGTTATCGTTTCCCCTCAGATAGTAAACACACCTCTTGGTAGAATATAATTATGGAACAAAAAGCTTTGGATATTAAATTGGGAAAACTGTTGTGTCATGTACATATACCAATCTACCTACATTCTACAGTTTATTAATCACTTTATCAATAAGCTAATAATGGAACAATTTCATAGGTCACATTCCATCTAATAAATAATATTCCTAACTAATTCTGTAATTAAAAATTTTCAATATTTGCAAACTTACTATTTTTAAATTTATATATCTTTCATGTTCCATCTAGTGGTATATTATTATTCTAAGACTCCAGTCTTTTAATTATGAATATGATTTACAAAGAATGTTTCTTTGTTCTCTAAAATTAACAATGTATTAGAAAATAATGGAGAACCTTCCACTTCTTTTCTACTCTAAATAGATTCAATTCAACCCTCAAAAAGAGAGAAGTTTTATGACTATATCCAATATAATCTCTTGGGTAAATCTTGGTAAAAACCAAAAACTTAAGCTGCTTTCCTTTCTTTTTGTTTATAAAAACTAATGTCGAATAAATTATTCTTTATTTAAATAAGTATGGAATATGCTGAAGTTAGTTATTTTATCAAAAAAGAGAAAGTGCATGGCAATTGCAAAATCCCAGTTTATTATCCATTATTAAATTTTGTCCCACTTTAAATTAGCAGCATTATGTAAATTTGATTCAATCTTTAATTTCAAGTTATCAAATATGCAGGCATTTATAAATTAAATCAATTCACAGTTTATAATTCTTATGACAAGATTTTCCAAGAAATTAAATTGAACTAGTTGTTGAAAGATTATAAACCCTGAAAATCTTTCATAATAGGCTTAAAAGTGGTGTGCATAATTTAATAATACAATGAGGTTGATTAATATCATTAGTAGAGAATAACAGTTCAAACTTTTTATTTGTGAAAAACATATATGGACATTATTATCAAGAAGATTTCTTGTAAAGAATTCTTTGAACAATTAATGATTATCATTATTAATTAATATTTAATTGATCAATAAATTAATGTATATAATGTATATTGTAATATCTTATCAATATTATTATTAGAATCCTTGATAATCTACACTTTATTTTATATATTTATATATTTATATAAAAATAATTGGATGATTCTTAATATCAAAACAAAAAAATAAAGGAGGGGCCTCATGTTCTTAGAAATCTGATTCATCAAGATGATAAAACCTGAAAACATTTAGATGATACATAAGAATTTTTAATATCACTTCTTATCCTTTATAATGATTAGTATTATCAGAAGATATTATCCCTTAAATGAGATTTGATATTTCTATTATTTTAATAATTTTGATTGTATAAATTATTAATTTGTATATCATTTCAATTAATTTCTAATGATTAAATCCATTTGCAGTATAACATATTTAATTTTTAATTCTTCTCAAATTTATAAGATCTTCTTTCTTTTTCGATAATGTAACTTTTTTAGCTCTTTAGAAGATTTATTAAACATCCTAATTAAAGCTTATGGAAAAACAACTATAAATCATTTTACAAGCACATATTATTGATATTATGATATATAGTTCCATGAGATAGCTGTCTAGTTAGTGAAATTGATAATTTTTATATGGACTTAAAGTTTTCACTTAAACACTAAGCACACTTCTTAACTATTAAATAATAATATTTGAATTAATTAAATTCATAAGGTAAAGATTTTTTCTAAGTTTTTATGAATGGCTATTCAACAGCCTATTAACATTAAAAAATTATTAATAATAATTTTAAAATTTAAATAAATATGTATTTTCAGTTGAACACTTGATTTAATATCTCTACTTTACATCTACCTGCAAAATGAACACATGGATACAAATCTTTGGATGTATCAATATTCAAAGTCTATTAATAAATAAAATTTGATACAAATGATTGATTTGTGGATTATTTTGTCCATTTCACGTACTTCTTTTGAATATCCACTTCAAAAATTATAATATCATTTGTTGAAAATGGAAATGATATTGAATAACCATTTTTATCTGTTTAATCATGATTATAACAATAACCAGTATTGTATATATTATATGTTCTTTTGAAACTATTAATATCATAAATATACCCTCCTCCGATATTATAACAACCACTATAACTCTAACTCTAAACAATATCCCTAAAACCAATTCCTATCATTATGTTTTAAATTTCAATAATTTTAATAGCAAATTATATCACACCATTCTTAGGGATCATTTAATCACACATACAACAATACCAACCACCAGAATTATTCTCAATAACTTTTCCATTTTAAGTTACTGAACAATTATTATTCTTATAAGTAGTTGAGAATGTCAGTGATTAAGAGAATTACTAAACCTACCTCAAATAAAGCCTTTACTTATACCAAAGTTTGTTATAATTATTTAAGCATTTCATCATTCTTCTGATTTTATTGTTAGCAAATCTACAATTCTGCTTACTTCTCCTTAACAATAACTTCACATTAAGTTTCTATAAGAGTTTGAATACAATTAATTTTTTACTTTATTATTCTAGTTCTTTTACTTTAATTGATTAACCTTCATTTTATTTCCTTAAATCTTATATTAACTTTTTTTATTCTGCATCATTTTTCTTAAAGTCATTAATAACTTATTGATTCCCTAAATTATTTTTTTCACTTTCTGTTAGTTGATTTTACAGCGATTCCTTTTATTGCTTATGCAATTTTAACTCAGCTTCAATTTAATCAAACTAAGTGAATTTTTGGATTAGAGATAAATCTTTTTGAAAATTCGATACATATTGTTTAAACTTATTAATACGAATAGAGTTGTACTTGCTATAATTATATATCTTTGAATTCATTAGACAAACTACTTATTGTTTGTATGATTAAATTATACTTATTTAAGGCTTCATTTAAGATATCTTAATATAATTTAAAATGTTGTAATTATAAGTTAAGTTACTTCATCTATAAATGATTTGAAATGGGATTATCGTCTTATAAAATATCATTTTTCTATTCCTTAACATTTAATATATTTAAACTTGACTCCTTAAAGATTTGATTAATCTTTTCAGTTGCAATCAAATCATTTTATAGTAATTTTCCAAAATTAGTTGATATAATTTCAAGTTAATTAAGGTCTTCTTTTTGAATATTTAATTGCTTTTCAACCAAAGCTTAGAATTTATCATTCTAACTTAATATTTCAGTTAATTCAGTAACTTACTCAGTACTCATTTAAAAAATCATATTTTCATTAAATTAATTAGTTTCATTTTAAGAGAACATTTAGTATTAAGTGTTTACCTTATTGATTATTTCTTAAATAGTGGAATTGTACTTTTCTTTAATTTCTTCAAGGATCTCAATGATTTAAGATGATTTTAAGCATCTTTAATTCTGAAATCGTTTAACCTAATCACTAGTTTATCCTAAATATTCATTCCATCTAAAACTAGCATCTTCTAAGGTTGTGTATTTGATTGGATCATTAGATTATATACACTCAACACATGCTAATCTAGAAAACTGAGTTTATTCAGGATTCAAATTAACCATGATAATTTCTTTTCCATGTTTATTACATTAAATCTTCAAGCTTGGTGTTTTCTATTTTTTATTTTAAAAATAATTACTAATGGATCTTCCTCCTTTTTAGAAAGTAATTAGAGTTACTTTATATCTGGGTGTCCAGTTTCCACTTTAGTCTTTTCTAAGGCTTCTTTGATTTATGATAATTTTGGGCAATTAATTATCGATAGTAATTATTGCTAAATTGAATCGATATAAGAATTGTCATCCAGAAACTTCTCTAATTCTTTAGGAACTTCAAAGCTAAATGATCCTTTGTAATTCTATGATAATATTTTGACATCTTCTTCAAAAGTAGAAACTAATGTTTTTGATTCTGATTCATCTAATTCATTTTCCATTAGAGTGATTTTCTAATCTATGTTACTTTAAACTTTATCTAAGGTGTTGTTAATTAATAATTTAAATTCTTTAACTTATGATTGTATCTATTTAAAGTTTTCAATCCTACTTTAATACGATTTGAGTTTGTTATTCAATTACTCACTTTTCATTTACTTAATCATTGTTTTTGTCTCTTCGACCAAAGCCATGTTTTAAATATCAATTTTTTCCATAAGGCACTTAATACAGAGGTATTTGTCCTTGTCAGCAGTTGATGATTTTAAATCTATAGTTAAAATTTCTAACTTATGCTTTTAACACAATTTCTTATCTAGATCAGATGACATTAATATAATTAATAAAATAAGATATTTTATAATTCCATTTTCTATTAAAATATTATTTTTTTATTTAATAAATTATATTATAAAATATAATTAATTAATATAATATTTGATTAACTTCTCAAATTTATCTAAACTGGAAAGGAATCCCAGTGAAATTCCTTCAAACATAGCCAGAATGGATATGAAGCTTAGGGAACTTGAGATTGAGAGTAAGATGAAGGACCACCTCCTTATTTTTGTTCTGGTCCTAATACAGTTTCGGGACATTAAGATGATAGCCTACTGAGATCTTTATTGCCTTTTATCTCTATTGTTATCTATTTTTATACTTTAATAAGTAACTTGAAATTAGTTGAATATATGTACTAAATAGTATTTATTCATCATATTTAACAGGATTTTTAAGGTTTGTTTACTATTATAAACTTCAATAATGGAATATCTAAAATTCTTTTACATATTCCAATATATTTTAGAACTAATTGAAAGTTTAAAGATGCTTAACTTTTTAGTTTTAATATTTTGTGACTTGAATACTTTTCTTCTTGTTTACTTGCTAACATATCAGAAATACCACATCTATTTCAGTCTGGCTTAATGGTTTATTGTCTTATTAATCATAACCTTATTTCTATGTTATTAAATTAAGATAATTATTTATTAAAGAGAATATTTAAACCTTATTTAATAGAAATATTTATAATTATTATGGCAATACCGAAAAATATTTCATATCCTAAACTCATTTATTTAAAATTTCATCTAATGGTTAAGTATGTTCTCAAATTTTTAACAAAATCTTTCATACTTTATTTTAATAATTTATTTAATGAATTAAAATAATTATTATTGTAAAGAGCATCCAAATTATTAAATTGGAGGCTTTTACAAATCAAATCTTAACACTAAATCTTAAAGAAAGTTATGTATTGAATGCATTTTAACCCGAAAAATACAACCAGAATAGATAATATCAAAAGATAACTTTGTCCAATAATTGTCCAAAAAGTTCAATTAAATAAGTACAGTCCTTCAATAGGGGTAAAATGATTATAGTAAAATCCTACTAAAACTTGACTCAGTGTAAGAAGGAATTATTAAGATATTTTCTTGTATAAAAGAATTCGTCAACGATATTTCAGAGGTCCAGAGGTTAGAAGATGATAGATTTCTAAATATTATCAAAAATAATTTAAACCCACTTGAGTGCTCTGCTACAGAATTAGACGAGCTAATGACTTTACTAGAAGGTAGTATTTTTGAGGATTATGATAAAAGAAAAAAAATTGCTTTTTCTAGACTTGATAGAGAAATCAACAGTTTGGATAAGAGTTTGTTGTTAGTTTAATAAAAAAGAGAGCTAATTTAATAAATGATGAATTAATTGTAAGACTTTTGAATATATTTAGTACAGAAGTAAAAAGAGAATAAAATATGATTACATTGAAAGGATTTTAGAAATCTAAAAGTAAATTAGCATAAACCACTTTTAATCTCGTTATTTCTAGGTAAGGAGATTAAGTTTATTAAAAGGATGGATAGATTCTTAGAATGTAATTTATTTAGTTTTAATATTATAGATAAAAGAAAGAATAATTAAGTTCAAAAGATTAATAAATATTAAACAATTTAGAATAAATGAAACATTTAGAATTTAAAGGAAAATATGGAGCTGATGGATAAAAAATTAATTAATGGAATTACTTTTGGAAGGGAGAAAAAATTGGAGGTGGCATCTACAGTTAGATTGGATAAAAATAAGGAAGGTGGCAAAATTTATGCGACAATTATTGGGAGTATTAAATTTATCGTATAATACTCTTAGTAAATAAAATGTGATTTAAGAAGGTTAATACAAAGATGGAAAATAGATTGGTACATGGAATTTCATATGGAATAATTAATATATGTAAAAGAAATCAATAAATTTAGTGGAGGAGGATAATTTGATAATTAAGGATCAGGCAGGAAGAATGGATATTGGGTTGAATTGCTTGATGGGTATAACCCTGGCTCCTAATATATTATCAATGGTTATTATAAAAACGGTAAGAAAATTGGTAGATGGGATATTATGTGTAGGGGAAAATAAATGTAAAATTATAATATTATACATAATAAATATAATTTAGAGGTTACGGATCTTATGACTGTAAGTAAGATGGAGATTCAATTAAGTTAGGAAAGTGGATTGAATTGATATATGGAGTTCATGATGATTCGTAGATCACTTATGTTGGCGAATATTTAAATGGTAAAAAAGTTGGTCAATGGGATATATGGTATCAGGAGAATTATGATAATAAAGAGAATTTATAAATGTAAAGATTTAAAAAAATAAATTTTAGTGGTGGTGGAGTATATGAACATCAAGAGGACGGAGATTCAATTAAAATTGGAAAGTGGATTGAATTGAATGATGGATTTTATTATAATTCATAAGTTACTCATGTTGGTGAATATTTAAATGGTAAAAAATTTGGTAATTGGGATATAATGTATAAGGGATAATCGATGTAAAATTATATATATTAAATTTTAGCGGTGGTGGGTCTTATGAATGTTAATTAGAAGGAGATTCAATTAAAATAGGGAATTGGATTGAATTGAGCACTGGATTTAATGATAATTCGTAAGTCACTTATGTTGGTTAATATTCGGATGGTTCAAAATTTGGTAAATGGGATATTTACTATAAGTTTTATCTTTTCTAATGGAGAAACAAAAAGATGTAAATATTAAATAAATCTCAGTGGTGGAGGATTATATGAGGAAAATTTGGAAGGGGATTCTGTCAAGGTTGGTTAATGGATTGAATAAAGTGAAGTGTTCAATTGGAATGCTTATATTATTTATATTGGTGAATATAAGAATGGTAAGAAAGTTGGTAAATGGAGAATATGGTTTAGATATTATTTTGAAAAATGGTATTCTAAATTAATGTAAATAATAAATAAATCTTAGTGGTGGAGGATCATACGAAGATATTTTGGAAGGGGATTCTGTCAAGGTTGGTTAATGGGTTGAATAAAGTGAAGGTTTTCAGGAGACTTCTTAGACTATAATCTAAGGTGATTATAAAAATGGGAGGAAAGTTGGTATTTGGAAAGTCACCCTTGATGAAGAAATTATGTAATTTTATTATTTAATATTAAAAAATTCTAATTTTAGAGGTTCTGGATGTTACGATAATGAAAATTTTATGAAAATCGGAAACTGGGTTGAGTTGAGTGATAGATTTTATATTTATTCATAAGTTACTTATTAGGGTCTGTATAAAAATTGTTAAAAAGTTGGTAAATGGGAAATTTTGTTTGAGGGAATAGAGGTGTAAGATTATATAATTAAATATTAAATATTTTGATTTTAGTGGTGGTGGATTTTATGATGATTAAGGATCTTTTAAGATCGGTGAATGGATTGAGTTAAGTGATAAATTTGATTATTAATCCTAAGTTACATATAAGGGTTAGTATAAAAATAATAAAAAAGTTGGTAGTTGGGTTATTTTATGGAATTGGAAAGATATAAATTAATAGATGTAAAATTTTATTTTTTATAAAACATATACAGAGGAAATGGATTATATGATGATTAAGTAGAAGGAGATAGTTCAATTAAGGTTGGAAGTTGGATTGAGCAGAGTGATGACTTTGATAGATGGTCGTAAATAGTCAATAAAGGTGAATATAAAAATGGTAGAAAAATTGGTAAATGGGTAGAAATAAATATAAAGTAAAATATAATATGTGGTGAGTTGAATTATGATAATTGAACATTAATATTAATAAAAAAAATTAAGTTATTAATTTTAATTATAATTATAAATCAATTTGAAAATATCTAAACTAATTATTTTAAATATTTTAATTATTAATAATAGAATATTTCACAGAATCAAGAATAAATTCTTTAAGAAGTTTTCATTCAGTAAGGATTCACTTATTGAACAATAATTAAATCAAATTTTCGAATTGTGTAAAATCATTGAGATTTATGAATAAAACTTAAAGATCATCTAAATTAATCAAAAGATTTTTTAATTGTCTTCCATAAGATATTTATTTAGAAACTATCCTATTTTATTAATATTCCTAATACCTAAACAGAATTTAAAAAGAAGTCATTAATAAATAATACAATCTTATTATTGATTGTAAAATTATTTTTTTTAAACAGAATCTATCACTTAACACTAATTTCCTTTTACTAGTTTTTAAAAGCCCTAAATTTTAGACTCCAATCTATTTAAAAGATTAAAAGACATCGCTGTAATCAATACTTTTAGGTGTATTCTCCAGTATCAACTTTTATTCAAGACAGAATATTTAGTTTAATTGTTATTATCAAATCTCATTTCTTTAGTTATAATCTTTAAATCTATCAAAAACTTACTTAAAAATAAGATATTTAATATAAATCACTTCTGTATTGAATCTCTAAATATTTGGGCAATAAGCAAATATGTCATTAATCAAAAATTATTTGAATAATCTTTGAGAAATTATTTATAAAAATTCGTTTCTATATCAATATTAAGGACATGGTTTAATTTCTCAGGGCTGCATTAATCATGATCTTTTGGCCACTCAATTTTTGGATAAGCCTAGTTTTTATTCCAAAATCAAGATATTAAATAAGCAGAAGTTAGATAAAACTCTTTGCCAACACTACATTACAAAAGAAACTTTTCAAATAACAATTTTCTTAATTCCTTTTTAGATACAAGATTTTCAAATTGAGTGTTGATAAAATAATTTAAATTGAAAAGAAATTACTATAATTTATTTTAATTAAATTAATACTTATGAATTAAGAATAACTCCATTTAATGTGAAAACGATTAAATAAATTTATTCAAATCAATATATATGGAGTTGTTACTTTTTATTTAGAAAGGATTATTTTAATTAGAATTACATCAATAATAATTATTGAATTTAGAGAAATCTTCTTATAAAAAATATAAAACTAAAAATGCTTAAAGCCTTTTTTATTTAATATTCTAAAGCTAAATAATGAAAAATAATTACATTATGAATTTATATTTATCATCTTTAGAATTTAAAATTTGTAAAAATGATTGATTTATATATTAAATTTATTCAAATGATTTATAATTCATAGATATCAAATTTTTTTCGTGCTTCTTCCCAAATGATTAAATATTTTCCATCATTTGTTAATTTTCCAAAAATAAATGTTGTTGAATAATTCATCTCTGTAAGTACTTCTAAATTACCATCCTTTAATATTTTTATCAAGTAAACATTTAATTTATGTTTAAAGATCATCAAATTCTATTCTTTGTTATAACAGATAGGAAATAAATTTACATCTCTAATTTAATTATTTTCAATTAATTTTAAATCAACAATTTCATTAAATTGTTAGCCATTTTCCAATTATAAAATGCTGATATAATTTTTTACTTCGTTTCTTGTTGCCAAAATTAGTTATTGATTATTTATAAAATACAACCTAGATCCAATGAATTGTAAATTTTATGTAATTTAATTTTCAAATTACCATTTCTGTTTATTATCTTTCTTCCAAATTATGATTTAAAAGCAATCAGTAGAAACCAAAGTATTTTCAGATTAATTTAAACATAAACTATAAATACCATTTGTATGCTTATCCAATGAATATAAATAGTATAATTGATTCTATAAAAAATCAACTTTCCAAACTTTAATTGAATGATCTCTTCCTCCTGAAATAAGTTGATCTTCAGATTTATTTAAAATCAAACAATCTATGCAATCAGTATGTTATTTATAGAATTAGGAATTCTTCCATTCTTTATCATTTATTTAATTCCAACAACAGATTTATTTGTCAAAACCAGTTGATAGAAAACAATTGTTCTTTTTACTAAATTACAGACAAGTAATCGGGCCAGTGTGTAGGCTAAGAGTTGTAATTTCATTCAAAATTCCACGAACAAAATCCCATACTTTAATTTAACAACCAGATGCTGATATCATAAGTGAATCAGAAACATTAAATGAAAATGCATAACATTAATCTTCTTATTTAATTGAATCATCAAATAATTTCAGATGAGGGAAAAAATTTAAATTTGATAAAATTTTTTCGCATTATGAATATAAATCTTAGTTTTTAAGATTGGATATTTTGATATTAATTTTGGCACTCAGTGAATTATTAAGTAATTTAAGTTATTAAATAATTGATTCTAAATTAATGAGATTATCCTTGGGATTATTAATTAATAATTCTAATTCATCAAGAAAACTATATGATGAACTAGCTAACCCAATATTATTAAGGTTTTTAATCCAATCAATAGAATAAGATAACAATTCATCTAAATATTAATTAAGGTCTGATTTTAATTTTTGAATTTGGTTGATCAATGATTCCACCATTTCCTAATTGGCTTTTATCAATTCTTAAATATTGTCTAATTTAGACTATTATTTTTCTTCAATCATTTTAAGTGCCTTTTTAAATCCAATTAATTTACTTTCTTATTCAAAATTCTCTAAACAATGTGCACACAAAAGACGTTCTCCCATCTTTATCTTTTTATCAAATTTAACCATGAGAATTGGTTAATTATGATTTTAACTGCAGTTAAGTTAATTTTCTAATTCTATCATTTTTGGTTAAAGCATAATTTATTATTTAATATTAAAAAAATGATTAAATTTTAATATTCACTGTGCTTTTAATTTAGGTAATGAATATATTATTATGAAATGACTTGTTATTTCTGTATCCAAATCTTCAATTTATTGTCAACTTTAGAAAAATAGAACTTTTTATTCATTATTAAATTATGATGTCTCATAATCAAAGGAATCTAAATAGTTTAATAACTCATATTAATTATCAAAAATATGAGTCATTTTTACATCATTAATTGCTTTTATTTCATTCTCACTAAATTGAAGAATAAAGCATACAAATTTATCGAAATATATTCACTTCAAAAATTAGTTACGGTTTCTTGTTTTAAATCTCATATTACATAACAATTATAAATAAGTGATCATTAATTGACTTTAGATTAAAAAGATGTTTTCATCTGAACTACTAGGATTTGAGCAAAAATATTTTATAAAATTTAATCCAAAGACTAAGCATCTTTATCATTAATGATTTTCATATTAATTAGTCAGTTTAGCTATTTTATTTAATATCAATCTTTTAAAAGTGTTAAGATTGCATTACATTAAGTTTATCGTATTGATTCTCTTGAATTTTGGTTGAATATAATTAGAAACAGGTAGTAATTTGAAGATTAGGAGGCAATTACATTTTTAGAGTATTTTAATATATGTTTAATTAATTAATAGGATATTTGCTAGTTAAATATTATATTTAATACATATTTGATATTTAATTAGAAATTACAACAAAATATTAATTTAATTTATTGATTGTTGCCATCTCATATCAATTGGAATTTACATCTTTATATGGATATGTTCAGCCAAAACTCATTTGTTTATTCCATATAAAAAAATTAAATAAATGATAAATCGATTCTTAATTTTACCCATCAACTACTTTTTTTAAACATTCAAAAAAATTATTTGAATCAATATTAGTAGAGATTATAATTCCAATAACAAATTTAAAGGTATGAATCAATAAGTAAATGTTTAAACAATAGGTATAAGAATAATTTTAATTTTCACGAAAGTAAAATGTAGTATCATTTTTAAATAATATAAGTTAAATATTCTTTTATAAGTTTTTCGTAATCTTTGAGGTTGGATTATACATTACCTATCAAAACTAATTATTTATTTATAACATCATAATTAAATTGAATTTTATACATTTTCTAATTGAATTTAAGATTTCTCTAATTTTTTTATATAAAAATATCAACTATGTAAAATTGTTATTATTAATGATAAATATCTAAAATTCTCAGTTTGACAAAATAGAGTATTTAGCTTTAAAAGAGATATATAATGGATTTGAGATAAGAGTAATATAAATTCCAATTGAAATTCATTATGTGAATTAAAATTAAATTGCATATACTTATGAAGGATAAGTTCTAAGAATGTAATACATAAATAACCCTAATAAATTTAGTGAGGAAATTGATAGTTTTTATTTCTAAACAAAAATATTGAAAACTCTAGAATAAATAAAACATCTAAATTGGAAAATTGAATGTATAAAAGAATCAAACTAAATTGGAAAATGGATGGCTATTTGGAAAAATAATTAAACTATAAGTTCTGGTTATTATTTTGAAGAGAAGATAAAATAAGGAATATGGAAAGAAGCTGTTGATAATTATTGGAGGTAATGACTAATTCAATTCTAAAAGTAAAGCTGAAATCTCATATATTGGAATGTATTAAAACAATAAGCGGAATGAACTTTGGAAAATAATGTTAGGAAAGAAATAAATGTATTTTAAATAATATTTCATAGAGGTGGAGGATAATATAATGAATAAGGAATGAAGTATGGTAAATGGATAGAACAGAGTGATGACTATTGGATGTATAAATAAAAAATTACTATCATAGAGAAAATTAAGTAACTTATAATGGTGAATATATTGATGGTAAAAAATATGGTTTATGGAATATTTTATATAGACAAAAATATATGTAACAATAATTAATATTTATAATATTAATATAATTTAGAGGTGGTGGTGTATATGATAAAAATGAATTAAAGAATGGAAATTGGGTAGATTTATGTGATGGGTTTTGTGAGTATGCAACTTATTTATATATTAATATTCTAGTGGATGTTAATTCATTTTCACAGGAAAATATAACAATGGTTTAAAGTGTGGGATTTGGAATTCTATTATTTGGCATCCTTGGAGATAGCAATTTGATTATATGTAAGCATAATTTATGATAATATTACTATTTATTAGTGGTGGTGGATAGTATGATGTATTTGGAATGAAGGATGGTAATTGGGTTGAATTGAAATCTGGTTATTAATCGTATAAAATTTTGCTTAATTTATTAATATCAATAACTTAGCGAACGATTTGTTACATATAATGGGAATTATAAGGATGGCAGAAAATATGGTAGATGGGACATTAAATATAAAGGGGAATTCATGTAAAGAGCATTTAAATAATTAAAGTGGAGGAGGAAATTATTATGATAACGAAATCAAAAATGGTAAATGGATTGAAATAAGTGACTCCTTTATGATGTAAATAATAAGATTATTATATCTTAGGGATAGTTAAATAATTTACAAAGGTGAATATAAAAACAGTCAAAAATTTGGAAAATGGAACTCTATGTTTAGGTTTTTAGGAGAATAAAATTTTTTAAATTGGTAATAATTGATATAATAAAATTAAAGTGGAGGTGGATCATATGATGAAAACGGACAGAAGACTGGAAGTTGGATAGAGTTGAGTGATAATTTTTCTAAGTAATTTTTTGAATTTAATAAGAGATTTATCCAAATTACTTTTGAAGGTGAGTATCTTAATGGAAAAAAGATATAAAAATGGAGTACTTTAAATATAAATTTGTAAGAAGATAAAATAAAGAAAATGTAAAGATTATTTAATGTTAGTGGGAGTGGATTATATGATAAGAATGGAATGAAAGATGGGAAATGGGTAGAAATGGTTGATAATTTTTTGGAGTATGAAAATATTCTTATTATAAAGATACAAAGAAATTACCTGCAATGGCAAATATAACGAAGGAAGAAAATAAGGAAGATGGGATTATAAGATAAAGAACAAAGAATACATGTAAGAATGATAAAAAATAATTTTAAGTGGTGGTGGATATTATAATTAAAATGGAAAGAAAAATGGTAAATGGGTAGATTTAGGTGATTATTTTAAAGAGTATGAAGTTATTTAATTAGGTATTTGTAAATTATTTGGATTGGTGAATATGATAATGGTGAAAAATGTGGAAAATGGGAATTTATGTCAAGAGCAGATTAAAAATAAGCATTTGTAAAAGGGTATATAAAATTTTATTATTTTACATTTTTAGCCGTGAAGAATTTTATGAAATAGCAAATAAAAAGAAATGAAAAATTCTAATCCATTAAATTATCGAATATTATATAATCAGATTTTTGTAGTTAAAATGAGTCTCTTGGGTTTTATTTGTACTTATGTATACTCAGTTGGATTCCAAAATCAAATACATAATCAAAAGTCCTTTATCTCATTTCTTTTATTTCTATTTTTAATTCTTATCATTATATTCAAAAATAATAATACATTGAATACAAAATTGGCCTTAGTTTCACACATATAAACATTTTCATTACTAGATTATAATGAAAATTAATTTTTCATTTAAATTTTTAATAATTTTTAAGTTACTAAATTAATTAATAAGATAACTATAATTATTTTGATTTATCAATAGATACCCAGGTTATAATTAAAATCATAACAACTAATTCATTACAAAAATAGAATTCAATTTGAAATTCAGTATTTCTAAAAAGTGATAATTTTTACTTAAAATAGAATTAGATCTTTAATGAGTATTCATTTCTATTAAATAATTTTAAATTCTTTACTATTATTTTAATAAATATTATCATTAAAAAATTAAATTAAATCATCAACCATTCATATAGAAGGAGTAAGTATAATAATTGGAGATATGCTATGGATACTATATGAAAGAGAATAACAAATACAAAGAATTAAAAATAGATATATTCATAATATCATGATGATTATTATCCTAGAGTTATTTTTACAGATTTTTATGATCAAATCATTAATTAAGTTAAGAAAACTTAATAAATTTTTAAATAGTTAATTTATTTATAGAATAGAAGATTACTCTAATAATTTATAGAAGTGAAAATTTGAGTAGAGGAATTTTTAGAATCTGTTTGAAAGAAAGTTTAAGAAAATACATTATTTAAATCAATTTATAATATATATTCATAAATCAGAAGAAATACTAGATTAAATTTTCATATTTTTTCTCTTAGATAGATTAACAGAGGAATATGTAAAGATGGTAAAAAATATACATTTATGTTGTATCATTCCTCATAAATACCATAAACTTAATCGATATTTCAAATATCATCTTATCAACTAGTAGAATAGCCGAATATAGATTTTATATAGTTGCATTTGATATCTCATACATCTATTGGATTATATACATTTCATTTAATATATAAAAATATTGCTTAGGCTATTCCTCAAATACACAAATGTAAGATGACACATAAATATTTTGAATAGTATTATATTTTTTTAATTATTGGTGTATTTTAAAACAATACTCTAAGTAATATATTTAATATCTATAAGATCATTTATATAATAATATTCAACTTTAATATTCTAATATTTAAAAGCTATATTCTTTTAAATGTGTACAAATAAAAAAAAAAATATTAATGACTTACTTTATAATGGGTTATCAAAATATTAGGATTTTTTAAATATGCATATATTTAATAGCCCATTAAATTTTTAAGTTTTCTATAATATTTAATGTTAGACTTTATAATTTAATCATAATTAATTAAAAAATGTTGATATTTGAAACATTTTATATAATCAAAAAAAAGTATAATTTAATTTAATTTTTATGGGTAAGCAATTTTTCATAATAAACATTTTTTTGTAAATATTTGAAAAATACTCACAAAAATTACTTGAATTGATTGAAATTATTGAAAAATTTTTAATTATTATTATTTTTATTTATAATTCCAAATGTTAATACCAAAAATACTAGAAAAAGAAATAGATTTTTAATGCTAATCTTAAGATCTATAACCTCCTGAATTTGTAATTATAGATTCTTCATTGCCTCATAATAAGAGATTTTTCTGCAAATCTTGTGGAAATTAAAGGCAATCTACATTTAAGATTATAGATTTTTAAAGTTTAAGAAAAAGTTTTGATGAATTATAAAGGGAATTTATACAATAAAATGAGTCAATTATTAGATTACATATTGAAAGTGTAATAAAATTAGAAAACATTCTAATCAATCTTAAAACAAGATAAATTCATTAATTTGATAATTTACTTTTACTTTTGAAAGAATGGATCACAGCCTTAATTGATTCTGTATCATCATATAGTTTCTTCAAATAATTAGACAGTTTGTTTACTCTTTAATTATTTGATAATGACTAAAGCAATCTAATAAAAAATATTACTAAAATTCACTCTTACTTCCAAGCCCAATTTGATTTAGATTTATTTAGAGAACAACCAGAATTCATCTCTGTCTAAGAGATATTTTAATTTTTAAATAATTTAATAGCCACATAGAATGTTGAATTGCAATATAATTTTAGAGTTGAGCGACCAAAAAATTAATTTCTCAGTTAATTGATTTAATCAATAAGAAATATGTAGGAAAAACAATAGCATTATATTATTGAGGATACTATATGTCCTTTTGGTATTTTCTATCGATATAAAAAATAATTTTATATCACTAAGAACAATAAAGAAGTCAAATATTAATCATTAGATGGAGAAATTGTGCGAATGTAACTAGATTGCCATATAAAACTAGTGATAGAAAAAATAAGAATTAGCATATAGAAATTTTGAAGAAATGGGAATAAATTGTTTATCTTTAATGGAAAGGGCAATATGATAATAATAAATAACAAGTTGGATATTGGACAGCAACTTGGAAAGGAGAAATTATAAAAGATGTAGGTGGAATTTACAATCAATTTGGGAAAAAAGAAGGTTTATGGAAGGATTTGATAAGAAATTATTGGAGGTAATATTTAAGATTAATTATATAGTATAGCTCAAGTATATGAAGTAGGACAATATTAGATGGGTTTAAAATAGGGAAATTGGAAATTCATATATAAAGATCAAGAAATGTTTTATATTATATTTTATTATGACTAGTGGATGTGGAGAATACAGTAAATAAGGTGAAAAAACTGGAAAATGGCTTGAATTGAGTGATATGTTTTGTGATCATTCTAAAGTAACATAGATGGGTGAATATAATTAAGGGAAAAAAGTTGGTAGATGGGATATTTTATTTAATTATTAAGGGAACAATAGCAAGATGTAACTAATGTTATTTATTTTTAATAAAATAAAAATTTAGTGGAGGAGGAGAGTATGATTAAGCAGGATAAGGACTTAAAATTGGGTAATGGATAGATATTAGTGATGGATTTTTTGAAGATTCTTAAGTAACATATAATGGTCAGTATAAAAATGGCAAAAAAGTTGGGAAATGGGATATTTTATTTAATTGGAATGGAAAGAATAAGATGTATTAATATTTATTTATTTAAATCTATTCTAAACTGTAGTGGTGGTGGATTTTATGATTTAGAAGGCGAAGGACTCAAAACTGGGTGTTGGGTTGATATTTATGATCAATATCAGCAACATCGTAGTATAACTTATATTGGTGAATATAAAAATGGCAAAAAAGTTGGGAAATGGGATATTTGGTATAACTATTTAGGGAAAAATAATAATATGTAAATATTTTATTCATTAGTTTACTAAAAAATACTAAAACTTAGAGGTGGAGGTTTATATGATGAAAAAGGCTTGGAACTTAAAATTGGATAATGGCTTGAATTGAGTGATGGATTTTGCGATTATTCCTAAGTAACTTATTAGGGTTAATATGAAAATGGTTAAAAAGTTGGGAAATGGGATATTTGGTTTAACGAAGAAGGGGAGAAATATAAGATGTAAAAGTTTTCTTAATAATAATACAATAATTAAACTAGTGGTTGCGGTTTTTACGACAAAGGAGGTTAAGGTCTTAAGACGGGTTAATGGATTGATATTCATGATTAATATCTACAAAGTCGTCATATAACTTATTATGGTGAATATAGGAATGGCAAAAAATTTGGTAGATGGAATATTATGTATGACAAAAATGAGATGTAAATATATTTATTTATTCAAAAATCTTTTTACACTTTAGTGGAGGTGGATAATATGATGAAGCTGGTTAAGGACTTAAAATTGGGAAATGGATTGATATTAGTGGCGGATTTTATGAAGATTCTTAAGTAACTTATAATGGTGAATATAAAAATGGTTAAAAAGTTGGGAAATGGGATATTTGGTATAAAAAGGACAGAAAAAATATAATGATGTAATTTGTTTATTAATACTAAAATTTAGTGGAGGTGGTTCATATGATGAAGAAGATCAAGGAATTAAAATTGGGGAATGGATTGAGATTAGTGAAGGATTTGATTGTTATTATGAAGTTACATATAAAGGCTCCTATTAAAATGGTATTAAGGTTGGTACCTGGATTGAAATTTTTTAAGGATTTAACAGAATTAAAGAAATTTAATATGATAATTGAGTATAATTTATAATATAATATCATTTTATATTTAATCTATTTGTCAACTAAGATTGCTAATATAAAAAATTATATAATGCTTTATTAATGATAGCTAAAATTAATATAATAGCAAATAGATTTGATGATTTTTATGGTACTAAAAAGGTTCATCGATATTTCGACTTGGAAAGTTCGAAAGGGCTTTAAATTATATTCATATATGTTAGCACATAAGGCATTAATTTTTTAGAATAAACCATTCTCAAAGGAAGAATCAGAATATTGAAATGGATAGAATAAACTTAATATAAAATATAAGTATATTCAAATTAATAAAGTCTACCTGTTTTATTCAATTAAACCACAATTTTTATCTTTGATTTATCCCTAGAACTGGGTGATTTTGGAGGATTACAATAAAAAGTTGATATTTTCATTTTTACTATTTAATTTACTGGAGAATAATTAGACTTTTGCTTTAAAAATTTTTCAACCATCTATAAATAAAACAGAAATTAACAAAAGAATCACCAAATCGCCTTTAATCCTTCATAACATATGCATTTAGTAATTTCTGACTATTAAATTTTGAATAGTTAACTAAAACTTAAACCTTCTCTTATTTCAAAATATATCAAGTAAATTTATAAAAATTAATCTATTATACTTTTGATATTATCACTTAATTTATAGAATTCTTATTTAATTTTTTGATACGCAGAATAGAAGAATGTTATTTAAATACTAAACTCCTTTAATTTCAATGAATTTAATAGTTAAATTGATTCAGAGAAAAATAGATTTAATTAATATAATCAATCATATATAGAAAGGCACTAATAGAAATTTTGGAAGTCTTAATTAAATGAAGTCGCAAATGAAAATACTTATAACTAGAATTTGATAGAAGCTGAGATTATAATAGAATTTTTCGTTTAATCTCTGGAACGAAATCTGCTAGTATGCATATAGACAGAGGAGAATTCTCTTTAACGGTAAAGCACGGAAATATAAATTGTATCATTTTTTGTGAGCCCCTAGAGTGTTTTGTTGGATTTTAAATATAATTGCGATCATCTTAAGTAGAAAAGTGATCATTTTATTAATTAATATTATACTCTAATAATTAAAAATTTAAAATATTTTTACTTTAATGCTAAATGGTTAATATTTTAATCTTGAAATAAAATATTCTAATTTTGCTCTATATATCTAATTATTTGCATTTGTTTAATTTATTATAGATTTTAGCCAATAAAACAAAGTCCCTAACGATTTTGTAAAAAATATTATTATTAATTCATTAAAAATTTACTGAAACATAGCAACTTAGAAATTCTAAAAATATCCCACATACTATAAAGGGGAATGTGTGAGATGAATTAAAATAAAGCAGAACAACTACTAAAGAAGCTGCAAATTGTAACCCTCATTAAAACAAAAAATTGAGGTACTTTATAAGACAGGATTAGTTTGAATGTAAGTCTTCAAATTAATTTTGAAGATTTAAATACTATAACAGCTGTACAAAAGTGGCTTTTAGAATGAGATATTTATCGATTAAGTAATACAAAAAAGATAACGATGTTGTCATTGATTCTTTGTGCCTTTTTTAAATGTAAGAAGAGATTATGTAAAGATATTTTGATATTTCTTAAACAGGTGATGCCTAAATGATAAATCAGCAACATAAATAAAATTAAAGCTCAAAATTATAGAATAGAAAATATCTATTACAGAATGATATGAATCAATATTTCTCTAATTTTAATTATAACTATAATAGTTTGATTTTTCTTAAAGCAGTATTTAATATATTATATATAAATGTTATTAATAATGATTTTTAAATTATATTATTTATATAAATTCAATCTTCACAACTAACAAACATGCCATAAAATGCTGCGATGGATGCTGCAACTACTTCATCTGATTATAAATTAAACTAGATGATTAATATTAAAATCTTACTCTTCCTTTTAGAATTTACTTAAAAACATTCAAAACACACAGAGGATAGGGTATGATAACTATAAGTAAATAGAAGAAGGGTGGATAAAAAATTCCTAACAAAACAATAATGGCAAACTCTACAAAGCAAACATCTAAAAATAATTAATTTAATTACAAATCACTCTTATTTTAGTCTTTTCAAAAAAGAGATAGATTAATATTATAAAATTTGTAATAAAGTTAAAGCATATTTATGTTTAGAATACAGTATATACTAGAACAGCTAATAATAATATATGAAATTTTACATGTCCAATAATTATGTACTGAGATCAATAAAAAATACAATATTCCTATATAAAATAATGTGTAGCAAAAAATAAGTCCAAATAGTATCACTAAACTGGATTATGTCTAAAATATCTTATTATTATTATTACTTTTCTATACTTTTAATCAATTCCAAATTTAATCAGAACTCCTATTGCAATTAAAGAACAAATAGCCAAGATTAAATAGATCTCACTAATATTTAATTTGAAAAACACAGTCAGCATCAATATATAAAAGAGGAAAACAGAAAGAATAGTCCATAAAATAAATATTCCTAAAATACTAAAGAGGAACTATTTTTATTATGAAAAGTCTTTGTCTTTAATCAAATTAGGTGTAGTAAGTATTAATTTTTCATTGGTTTGAATATTTGAAAATTCTAAATTTGGTGTAACTTAGTTATGAGAATATTATTAGTATTATGATGAATATTATTGCTGATATTAATTGTATCCTTCTGTTGGTATTAATACAGGAATATATTTCACATTTTAATTACTATTATTAAACTATTATTATGATGAAGTCTATTGATTTGTATTATCTAAAGTTGGATAATTTATTTGTGACATTTATTATAAGATTTAATATCAAGAATTATTGAAAAGGTTGATTTAATTAGATAAATGCACAATGCAGAAAATAATTCTATAAATAGTCTATTTGTATTATAATATATATTATATTGAATAATTAATTTACAATAATTCAATATTATTGAAAATTGAAATTTAATTCCTTTAAATAGATACAAATATTATTTTTAATCTTAAATTTTACTATCAAAATTAGAAACAATCTTAAGAAATATATTAAGTAAATATAATGTTTATTTATTATTCTAAATTTTGATATGCTACTAATGATAGAGACTAAAATATTCTAAAAGGAAAATCTCAAGAAAAAATTTTGTATTTACTTAGTATTTGCTTATTTAGATTTAAATGAAAGGAAAACATAACCAAAAACTTATGCCTACAATTATAACAGCTCATTACTAATAATACATATTTGACATTACTGTGGTTCAAACATCTTTATTTTTTAAAATACAGCCATTACAGATCATACATAACTTTCTTAAGTAACCTACTAAATAATTTGATATGCCATAATTAATAATTTTATGTTTGGAGATCTTATAGCTAAATTGGATAAAATAAAAAGCAATAAAATTTATTCTAATATAAATATTCAAACTATTATATATTTGATTAATAAAACTAAAGAGAAATTAGAGTAATATTTAAATATATGAATAATCTTGTTGTCATATAAGATTATATACAAAATATTATGATATTTATTTTAATAATGAAAATTAATACATTATAAAATAAATTAATTTTATTTATCACTTTCATTCCTTTTTTTATTAGAAATTTATCCAAATAAATGATTTTGTTTATACATTTAAAACAATTTTCAGATACCAGATATTTTAGGCTGTTAATATTGAGTATAAAATATAAGTTTTTATGGCTATTTTTATTTGAATTTATAATATTGCATTTTAAGAATGAAAATATTATGTTATAAGTATTATAGTTTTATTTATTTTATTTTGCTAGTCAGAATTAAATATATCTTAATTTTATAATTTACTTAAAATTGCCAATAACTTAAGAAGCTTGTTAGACAATTAGACTCATAAAATTTATAGTAAAAATACTCAGAATTTATTTCTTATTTTTCCTTTCAAATATTGAAATTATATATTATTCTCTTATTTAATCAACTCTGATTATTAAAAAGGAAATTTGATTATACTGAATTTTATATGAACAATTATTGTTTTTTCAAACCTTTCGAATTTTACAAACTTAACTTTTTATTAATCCCAATCTTCTTGGCTTATATATTTACAAATTATTTGATTAGTTCTATATCTAATTGTATTAAATCTTCTTAAATTTGGATTTATTCATCCAATAAATGTATGAATTATATAAATTGATTTTTCAAAGAATAAATTATTAATTTATGGTTACTGATTCAATATTTCTTGTTCTATCCTTCTCTAAAAGTCTCTTTCTTTATATTTTATTCATATTAAATTAGGCTCTCTTTTAAAATTGAATGTATCTTTTTTTTTCTCTTTTTTTAGGTTGATAGGATGAATTAAATAAGGATCAATAATAAAAAGAAATGTTTCAAAAAGACTTTCTCATTAAATTAAGTAACTTTTAAAAAATTAATAAGTTTGATTAGAACATCAATTTAAATTTATTAGGTAGAATTTAATTTAAACAAAAGTTAGAGGTTGGTTATTTAAATATCTCAATTTTGAATTCAAATAGAAGAATTTCTTTTTATTTTTCATTTGTATAAAATAATTAGGTTATCCTCAAAAATATTTTAATACATGAATATCTTGAAAAAGCATTATGAGCCCTAAAATGTGTTTATTTAGGAAAAATTAAAATATTAATGAATTTCTGGACAAAGTAATCGATTATTTAAGAAGTATAGTTAAATGAGAATATATATTTGAATTAATATTCATCAAAATTATTAAGTTCAAAATTATTTTTTAAAGTTATAAATGGATTGCCAAATGATTTAGTTTAAATTATCGTTTAAGATTTATGTATGTTTATAATTTCTTTAATACTTTCTTGATTGTCATAATATTTTTCTTAAATAAATAAATATTTAATTTTTGATCAAGTCATTACAATTAGCATAAAAAAGTAATAGAAATTGATAAATTAATTAAAAATGAATTACCCAATTCATCCTTATAATGAATTATCAGTAATATGTATAGCACCACACAATTGTCAAAGAAAATTTTGCTCAGAATGCTAATATGAGCATGGAGGAATATGGATTAATACATTCCATTAGATTTATTTCAAACTTAACTCAAGTAGAAGGCTTCACAATATAAACTTGATGATGATCAAAAATAAGTAAAACAACATAGAGAATTTAAAATATTACTTGCAAATACCTAAATTCAATTAAAGACTTAATTTTCAGAGTTAAATTAATCCATTCAAAGTATCAATAATACTTTGAAAAAAAAGGCTTAAGTTTACCTTAATTTAATAAACCTTTAATTCCCTTTATCTGAATCATCATATTCAGATCTTGATATTATGGTAAATATTTTGTAGGGAGATGTATTAGATTAATGGCAATTATAAAAAGAACATTATTTCAATTATATAGATAAACTAAAGTCTTCGTTAAAATTTGAAATTGATAAATTCACTAGCCTAATCGATCAAAAAGCTTCAGAAATTATGTAAGAAGAAAAAATGTATAAATTGGAAGGTTTAAAAAAGCAAGGATAGATTTTAAAAAAAACTAATTTTGATATTCATTATACTCAATAAAGAGAGACTAAATATATTTATTAAGGTGAAATTCTTTATAGGTATAATTTATATATATATTAATAGTTTTTAACAATATTATTTACTATCAAAACCTTAAATAAATACAAATTTAGAATAAATAAAGCATCTTTAATGGATAGGTGAAAAAGGGAAGAATGAAAGAAAAAATGGATTATGGTCTATGAAATGGAAAGGTGAAAATTGTAATGGATGTGGTGGAGAATACTCTTTAGATGGTATGAAAAGGGGTAAGTGGAAAGAAATAATAAAAAACTATTATGAGTATTAATATAAATCATTTATTAGTAATGCTAAAGTATATGAAGTGGGAGAATATATAAATGATATTAAAAGTAGAACTTGGAAATATATATATAATGATTAAGAGATGTATTAATATCATTATTAACAATTAGTGGAGGTGGAGAATACAATTAATTAGGTCAAAAAGATGGAAAATGGATTGAGTTGAGTGAGGGGTTTAGTAATAAATCTTAAGTTATATATAATGGCTAATATAAAAATAATAAAAAAGTAGGTCAGTGGATTAGTGTAGCTTGGGGATAATAAGTGTAAAATATTTAATTGAATTAATATTTTAGTGGTTGTGGATCTTATGATGAAAAAGGTAATGAACTTAAGATTGGCTGGTGGGTTGAGTTGAATCATAGGTTTTCAGATTACTCATAAGTCTTTTATATTGGTGAATATAAAAATGGATATTAAGTTGGTAAATGAACTACTTGGTGGTATATTTATGGAGAGAATAAAGAGATGTAAAACTTTACAACATTAATTATTTAGAGGTGGAGGATCATATGATTAAGGAAATAATGGCATTAAGATAGGAAAGTGGATTAAGTTGAGTGATGAATTTTCACATCTTTCTTAAGTCACTTATCATGGAGAATATAAATACGGAAAAAAAATTGATAGATGGAATACTATGTATAGGAAGGTAAATGATTTAAATTGGCTTTCGATGTAATTTATAAGGCTTACAGTTGATTAGAGGTGGTGGATCATTTGATGAACAAGGTTATGGCATTAAGGTTGGAAAGTGAGTTGAATTGATTGATGGGTTTAGTTTAAATGGTCAAGTTACATATATTGGTGAATATAAAAATGGCAAAAAAGTCGGACGATGGAATATTACTTTTAATGGATAATAAATGTAAAATATTAAATTCAATAAATATCTTAGTGGTGGTGGATCTTATGATGAAGTATGTGATGAAATGAAAATTGGTAGATGGATTGAGTTAAGTGATGGATTTTGGGATTAATCATAAGTTGTTTATGAGGTGAATATAAGAAAGATAAAGGTAGGAAAATGGGATATTATATATTACAAAGATCGAGTGAAATAATAGATGTATTATAATAAGAAATTCTATTATTAGAGGTTATGGATCATATGATGATGATGGATTAAAGATTGGAAAGTGGGTTGAGTTAAATGATTAGTTTTAGAATTGTTCTTAAATTCTGTATATTGGTCACTTTAAAAAAGGTAGAAAAATAGGTAGATGGGACATTGCTGATGAGGGATAATTGATGTAGCATATTAAAAAATCTTAATTTTAAGTGGTAGTGGAACATATGATGAGTAAAATGAAAACATGAAGATTGGATAGTGGGTTGAGTTGTATGATGGATTATAGAATAGCTTATAAGTCTTTTATAAAGGTGAATATAAAAATGGTTGCAAAGTTGGTAAATGGGATATTTCCATTTGGGGAAAAAATATGTAAATATATTTCAAAGCAATATTATTCTAGTGGAGGAGGTGCATATGATGAACAAAGCAATAGTATGAAGATTGGGGAGTGGATTGAGTAAATGACGGGTTTTCATTATTATAATAAGTCCTTTATAAGGGAGAATATAAGAATAGTATAAAAATTGGTAGGTGGGACATAATGTATAAAGCAGTACTTGTTAATGAATTTAAAAAAATGTAATTTTTTCTTTTAATATGTTTAGTTGTGGTGGATCATATGATAAAGACTAAGATGGTATTAAGATAGGGAAGTGGATTGAATTGATAGATGGTTTTGGTTGAATGGCCTAAATACTATCTCAGGAGAATATAAAATTGGCAAAAAATAAGGAATATGGGTAGTAGTTGATATTTTCAAAAATGAGAAGTTGAGTGAGAAAAATTACGGCAATTGAGTATTATATGATAAATGAGTAAATCATAAGGATAGCATGAATTTTTAAGAATTTTTTTCTCTTCTAATGAAATATACCTAGCTTCATTAACATTAAAACTGTTTGGAGATCACTAATATATTATAAAATATTTTTTAATATCCTAAGTCTTTAATAGAGAGTGTAAGAATTATTAGATTGTTTATAAATATTCCTAATTTCACTTTATAAATATTATAGTATTTAATGTATTAAATTACAAACTCTTGACTTATTTTATTTAGATGAATAATTATAGATTTTAATTGAATAATTTTTAATATTATAATCAGGTTGATAGATCATTTAACTTTTAATTACTCATAATTATGTGAAATTAAAAAATAAATCATTTAAAATTAATAAATTTTTAATAAATGTATAGAGGCAATTAATAACCTAATTACACGCATTAATAATTTATATCTAAGTATCACTCTTTGTAGTTTATAAGTCATCAAGGCATTAAAATTGAATATTGTAAATCTAATTCTTTAGTTATCTTTTCTTTAAGCTCTATCTTAGTAATTTCTGTAGATTTTTATCTATCCTTCAAATTTTATCAATTTTAATTAACTGTTTTGAAAAAGGATTTAAATTGTAAGCAATTCAAATTTTACTAGAAATAGTGATCCAAAAGATAATCAAAATTGCTATTGATTATAAACGAATAAATTAATTAAAATTAAAATTTGTTTAATACTTTCAAACAATGTTGATTATTCTTTATTTCATTTAATGAATTTAATTCTTTTTGTAAAAAGCCAATATGAAGGGAGATTAGTGATTTTGACTTTTCAATTACTTAGATGAAAGGGACTTTTAAACAACTTCTCTATCAAAGAAAAAGTTTCCCAATAATCAAAATAATTTAACTTTTGCAAGCATGCTCAAGGTAACTTATCCTCACTATATCACTTATCATAAATCAAGAATCTTTAATTAAATAGGAAATTTCAGCAACCCTATCAATTTAAATTTACCTCTCTGGCTATATAAGCATCCTTCATTTTTTAACCCTACTCAATTTACATTGACAATTAGGTTTAGATAGAGAATTGAGTCAGAGGAATTATCTCAGAGACAACCTCCCTACAACTAAATGAGATAGACTAGTTATGCCCATCACAAGTGAAGTTGAATTGATCGAAAAATTACTAAGACCAACTGGGGCAATTTCAGCCCAATTACGAACTTCTTGGATCATCCTATAATTAGGACATTCAATAATCCCTACTCTCTCTTCCATCCAGCAGAAAAGATTAATTCAATTGAAATTTAATTTGTATAAGTTAGCAATTTCCCAATTTCTATTGTTGATAAGAAAAAATCATGGTCGATCTTTTCTTTGTAAGTTATTCTCTCAAAAACTTTTTGGTATCTTATTTTAAGTATTAAGAATTATCTCTAGTAATTTTAAAGCCAAAAGACTGCAGCCTACATTGAACTCATGAAAATCTAGATAAGAATCCTAAAGTTAAGAAACTTCTTAGTCTATAACAAGGGTATTAACCTATTAGGAACAAATTTAGGGTATTCAATACTATAATCCAATTTCTGAGGATAAGTTCCTTTAAAATAGTAAATCATCTCAAGAAGGGTCTTTAAGGCAGCTAGTTTAGTTGAGGAGCTAATGATTAAATTAGCCATTTTTAGCCAAATTTAACACTTACCAAATTCTTCTTAATTTCTCATCATTTTTAGTACAGTCCTTAAATATTGATTTAAAGTTGATTATTTCAACACTATATATTTACACCAAAGTTTTAATTTCTTTCTCTCTCATACATCATATATTAAAGATTTTTATACCATTATGTTAATCATTTATTTTTACAAATTGTTTTTACCATAAAAAAAGGAAAAATCAATTAAAACATTTTGAATTCTTAAGACAAACAAATTGATATAAAGACTTAGGAAGAACCAAAATAAAAGCATATATATTTTAAGTTCAATTACACAATAATAATAATTTATTATAAATTTATAAATGATAAAGAATTCATAATTATTGACTATACTTTTATTTTTTTATTGGTTTATAGGCACAAATTAAATTTGTTTGAATAAATATAATTAAATGTTATCAATAATCAGAGGAAATTACAAGAATGTTTTACACTTAATGAATGGCGCAATCATATCATCAAGAAAATAAAATGGTTTTTTAGGAGATAATCATGGTAGCTGTCTTAATGATGCTATTTATAGAATAACTAATTATACTTGGAACTTGACTGGAAATTCAATCATTTTTGAGCTAATTCAAACATATGAACTAAATACTTTAAAACTCTGGTTTTGGGATGGTGACAACAGAATTTACAGATTTAATATATACATAATAAATGAGACATAAGAAAGTTTGATTTATGATAGTACATCAAACAGTATATTTACTTTAACATTTACCGATTAATTTGTTAAAGGATTTCGAATATTAAATGTGAGTGGGAATACCATTGATTAAGGTGTGCATCTCTTAAAGGTAGAGGCTTATTACTATAATTCAAAATCAGATAATAAAATATGAATATCTATTATAATACATATTTATTCTTAAGATTCTGAATATACTTTTATTCTTATAGAAAATATTTTATCATTTTGAAAAGTGTGATTTTATTTGACACTTAATTTTAATAAAATTATTATTTCAGATTTAGATATTATGAACCTTTTGAGAAGATTATAATTCAATAAATTGTTGTTTTAATCATTTTATGGAAAATTTTAATTATTTAATCTAATTATTTTTATTAATAACAAATATACAAGACTTATATGGTGTTTTAATTTTATATGGTTGTAATAATTATATTACTTCAATCAAATTGATGATAAAATCAGTTTTAATCCATTATTATAAATCAAAAATAAAAAACTTTTGAGACAATTTAAAATTCAATTAATTCTTAAATCCAAGTTAATAACATACATATAAAAAAAATTGATTATAAAGAAGAATTCAAAATACAGAAACTAATTAATGAGGAATAATATATTATATATGTATAACAAACAAATATGAATAATTTGCTTCTTTAAATTTATAAATTTAAGCAGTTTTATAAAAATTTATTATAGAATATGTTTATTTCAATCAATAGTATTCTTTCAATCATGATAATATTTATAATCTCTAAATTTAAATTGGTTTTATATTATACATGATTTTATTTTTTCTACTAAAATCCATAACTTCCCACTTACCAACTTTTTTACCATTTTTATAATGACCATTTTCTATGATTTAGGATTATTAAAAGTCATTTTAGAAATTATCATTCAATTCTTTCCACTACCCATTCTTTGTTGATCCTTGTTTGTCAATATATGATCCTCCACCACTAATTAGATTTAATATTTAATAAACTAAATACATTTATTAAAATTGAATTTCTGTATCTCCCCTATATAAAGTATTCCAACGACCAATTTTAAATCCATTCTTATATTCTCCATTATAAACGATCTATTATAATAAATTCCCACTCCCGAATCTCTCAAAAAGCTCTACCCATCTTCCAATCTTAATAGATCCTAATAATCCATCACATTCTTATTTTTCACTATAAAATCCTTCACCTCTTTTTTAAGAAAATATGAATATTCTATTTACATCTATTCAAATTTCTAATTATCTCCATATTTCCTAAACAAGATATTCCATTTTCCAATTTTTTTTCCATTTACATATTCACCATCATAAACAACTTAACTCCATCTAAAATATTCTAAATAATTAATTATATACATATCAAATCTATCACTTTCTTCAATCCACCTTCCTGTTTTAATTGAAACTTATGCAGCATTACCTACTTAATATTCATCATAAAATCCACCTCCACTTTTTGTAAAAATAAATAATATCAAACATACATTTAATCAATCCTCCCATCATATGTAAAAGTAATATCCCATCTACCAATTTTTTTACCATTTTTATAAACACCATTATAAATGACTTAACCCAAACTAATGTTCAAAATCATTTTAATATATTACCAAGAAAATCCATCATTCAATTCTATCCATCTTCCAACTTTATTTGTGCATATTCCATCATATTCTAGTTTCTATTCATACACTCCACCACCACTTTTTAATCAATTTTATACTAAACTTACATATAATTTTTCTGATTAAATGTATCCCATCTACCAACCTTAAATCCTTTTTTATAAACACCAGAGTAAGTGATTTAATTATTACTAATAAGATATAAAAATAATCTATAATAATTTAATACCAATAAAACCCATCACTTAATTCGATCCATGTTCCAATTTTCAATGCACCTAAACCATCATTTTATTGCTCACAATCATATAATCCACCACCTCTTTATAATAAATATCTTAAATTTAACTACATTAATTCAATATTCTTATCTCCATAATTCTTTTTAAACCAAATATTCCATCTTCCAAATCTTTTACCATTTTTATATTAGCCTTCATATGTAACTTAACTCCAGCTAATATATTCAAATTAATAAACTTAATACTCATAAAATCCCACACTCAATTCAATCCATTTCCCTATCTTAGTTTATCCTAAACTTTCACCTCTTCTCTCATAATCATATAATCCACCACCACTTTTATTAAAAGTTAATAAAATATAACCTACATTAATAAATTTTCATAATAAATATTCCATAACCCAACTTTTTTACCATTTTTATACTCCCCTTCATCTATGACTTACTTTTAACTTAAAAAAAATGATTGAATCAATTCAATACTTAAAGAAGTAATCGCTCAACTAAGTCCATTTTCCATCCCTTTAACCTTACTCGTTATAATTACCAACGCCACTTAATGATATATAAAGCATATTTATATACAGTTGTTTATCTTAGTAGAATTGCTTCCATGTACCTACTCTCTTATTATTAATATATTCTCCGAATTCGTATGCTTTGGCATTACTAATAGTTATAATAACAAATAATAGCTCACTTCTAAAAATTCTTGATTAATTCCATCCATAATCCTTACTTTTCCCCTTAATCAGAGTAATATCCACCAATTTGTGAAAAATTTTATCCATTCCAAATTACATTCCATTTATCAACTTTCTTAAAACATTATCCATATCTCCCTTGCCATTTAAGAAACTTGATCTATTCTAAATTCTTCAAAATATCTGGTTTAGTTCTAAAATCAGTAAACTAATCACTAAGTTTATTGAAAAATGAATTCAATACATTCTTAGGATTTGTCCATCTTATATATACTTGATTTCCTTCGATTTAGAGATGATTATTTAAATTTGGGTTTTTAGGAATCGATTATCTTTAGTACTCCAAAATTCACATTCATAATTGTATGTTTCATAAGTTTTTTATTGCATCCTATTTATTTTTGATAACAATTTAATTTTATATAAATTTCTATTAATATCTAACTCTTTTGATTTTCTATCTATCTTATAGTTTTGCTTGATAATTAATTAAAACAATTATTGATTAAATATTGTTTGAAATATTGAGAATTTTAAATATCTTTATTAACCCTCAGAATTTAACTTTAGTTTCAAATCATGTTATAAAACCAAATAATTAGTAATATCTATTTAGAGATTTTCCAAATCGCAATTCCATTCATTTAATTAAATCAATTAATATTTTAATTAGATGAAGTTCAATATATCTTTATCTAATGCAATTGTAAAAAATTCTCCTTAATGATGTTTACTAATTCTTATATTCTAAACATTATTCAAAATAATAAAAGAGCCATTTATGGATATTTGTTAAGAAAATCTTACTTGATTTTATGATTTATGAATTTAACCTCTTTATATTCTCTTTAAATTTCTATTTATAATTCAATAAATTTAATACAAAAGAGAGCATTATAAATACAAAAATTAAACTTAATCCTTATAAATTATGAATGTAAATTGTTATTTATTTTTAAGGTTTTTATTCCAATTGAAGTATTCATTTAGCTTTTATTAAAGTAATTTATCTTACTTTATATTAATAAATTGTTATTAATTTAATTGATTTAAATTAAGATTAACAATAAAAGTAAAACATTATTAAGAACTTAAAAATATCTAATCTTTATATCAATATAAGGGCATATATTAAAAATAAATAATATTAGCTTTTATTTGAAATAATCTATAAAAAATTCTGTTTATTTTTAAATATCTGTAATTTCAATTTTTTGCCTCTCTAACTAATTAAAAGGCCAGAATCTAAAGAGTTAGTAAAATATTTCTTGAGTTGATTATTATATTTCATCTAAATTTATGAAAATAGTAGAGTAAATAGATGCATGAATAATTAGCTATAATTAATAATTTTTTATAAAATTATTATAAAAATTATAATAAAAGTTGAAAGAAATTTCAGAAATATAATTTTTATATAGAAAAAAGTATCAGAAGTTAAATAATACAATAATGAAATAGTGTATTTTAATTCATATATATTTATTTCAAATAAAGGATATTAAGGCAATAATCTGCAGCTTCAAATAATAACTCTTTACATGTATTTAAATTTGAAATTATAGATTTTTTGAATAGCTGTAAATTTTGAAAATATTTGATTAAAGAAATACTTATTAAAATATGAATCTTCACATTTTCTAAGAAATAAATGAATATTACCTTTATATTAGATTTTTTGTTTGGAAAATTTAGAAATTATTTAAATCATTAAAAATGTTATCTATTTTTTACATGGTCTGCATAATGAAAGCTGTTTATTCAGATTTTACAATACGATTGAATCCTGAATAACCTTATTGGATTGAAGAATTTTCAAAATTAGATATAATTGTTTAAGAGGGTAGAGTGTAAAGATGGAGTTCATGGTTTCAATACCTTCCTTTAAGTTCGATAGTTTACGCTGATTCATTTGGAGTATTGGACAGCAATTGCTATCATTTATTTAGTTCTGTTGAAAAGGAATCAAAATAGTTAAATTTCTTACATTATGATTGTTTAGATTTGACAGTAATGACTATCACTAAAATAATATAATTTATAGATAGTGATGATTAACAATATTATTTTGAAATCAATATAAATACTTTTGAATATGAAAATTAATGGTATTATTTTGATTTTATTTTGTTTCTATATGAGAATTAATTTTAGATAATAATAATAAAGGATGAAGAAATTATTAAAGATGAAATTTTAAATGTAGTACCATTTTCCAATGTTAAATTACTTTAGAAAGTAGGAGGAAGTCTACTAGTTGAATAATCAAGATTAAAAAATATTGAAAAGGGAAGAAAGTTTGCTTCATTTCCAGGTAAGATTATTCCTATTAAGAGTAATGATAAAGTGAAAGATTTTGCTAATTTTGCAATTAATTTTGTTAGGTCTAATAAAATATGTAAATGTTAAAGCAATACTTAGAATAATCTAGATGATAATGATTTTTTAGAATTAAACTCAATAATTTATAATTCATAATATCCAAATTGCAATTCATTTCTATTATCTGGATGGTTTAAAATAAAAGATATAATCTAAAGTGATATTAAAATGACCTATTAATTTATTAAAGTGTCATCAAATTTGTAAAGTAGTTAACTTTCTAATGAAAATTTATCACCATTTTAACTATTTTACTATATATAAGAAAATTCTAAAAAATTGATAATAACAAGTTATAGTTATTAATTTCCATCTGTAAGTTTAGATTTTATAAATAACCCTTTTTTAATAACAAGAGAATTCAATATTAATCATAACATTTAATTATGGCATCTTTTATATGTAAAATTAATAGAGAATGACTTTTATATTAATATCAAATTTTATGATAAAAAACAAGTATATGAATACAGTATATAATTGATGGTATATCAATTTCATCAAATATATTATAAACTTATATTAGGAAATTATTAATAATCAACTATTAACTATATAAATATTATAGGAAGAAACTTATATTTATTTAATTGCAATACAAATTTTTTATAATAAAATTGTCATCATAGTTGTTAAGAATGTGATGGTCCCACAAATGAAGATTGTTTATCTTGTTCATTAGATTCATAAAGAATTTATCTTCCAGAATATAAATAATGTATTTGTCCATATTTTACAATTGATGATTATGATTGTAAGAGTTATTCAGATTTCAATTGGTAACTAATTTCTAATAGAGAATAAAATTTGGAATGTAAATATGGATAATTTGAAATAGATGGATTATGTTATGATTGGTATTTCTATATTATTATTATTATAGTCCTGGAATAAGAAACTAAGAATTTATAACTTGTTTAGAATGTATATTAAATCCAAAAGGATGGATTTAGAATCCAACTTGTTAAACTTATTTATAATTAAATAAAGATGGAAGTACTTCAAAATTATAGAAAAATCCATGGTAATAATAATAATAATATTACATATTTAATGGAATTAATCTTGAATTATGTGCAGAATGTGTAAAATCTAATTTACTAGATTAAAATAATATCACTGAAGATAATAATGTTAAATTACAATAATTTAAATAGTTTTGTTTGACTTAAGTATAATCGAATTAATGTTACAAATGTGCATTACCTAATTGTTAAATATGTAGTCTTTAATTAACAGGAGCAGTATGTCTAATGTGTGAATGGTTTAGTGAATTAATAAATGGATTATGTATAGCATATGAATTTGGAATAAAAGACGAAAATAATTGTATATCACCCTATTATATATCTTCAAATAAATATTGTAAAATATGTCCAATAAATAATTGTTTGCATTGTTTTGAATATGTTTCTGATGACTTAACAAAATGTACACTTTATAAGGACTTCTAGATATTTAATGGAGATGAAAATCTAAAAGTAGGATGTGCATTGTGTGAAAATGAATATATTTTTGATTTTCAATTGGGAATGTGTTTGCAATAGAGTTCTAAAATAGAAACTTGTTTAAGAAGTTATATTAATTAAAAAGGTACAGAAATATGCACATTATCATCAAAAGAAGACTTTTCAGTAGCAAGAGAAATAATAAATTGTGAAAAATTAATCTCTAATTGTCTTTAATGTTTCATTACAGTTTAATCAATATTGAGATGCATCATTTGCAAAGAAGGTTACACTAGTACAACTACAGAAGTGAATGGAAGATGTTATATTAATAAATTATAATATGCAAAAATAAGTATAGAAGGTGATTATTTCTAAAAAGATGCATGGATGTAAAGAATTCAAAGCTTTATGGGATCATTTTTGCCAAATTCTTATTTTTATCCAACATCAAATTCTTATTTTATTGAAGAAATAGCAATATCTTGTTTAGAGGGGTATTAGTTAGTTGAATATCGAAGTTGCATTAAATATTGTAATTCTAATTGTAAATAATGCAAATTAAATCTTTCACCTCCCTACTATTATTGCAATCAATGTCCATTAGATTATTATAAAAAACCTTAGAGAGTTGAAGAGAATGGATAATGTTTAAAATGTTCCCCATTATGTCAATTTTGTGAATCAAGAACCCTTGATGAAATATCTGTAATATATATATTAAAACTAGTTAATTTAACCTAATTTTATTGTGAATGAGAAAAATGAACAATATACAAAAAAATGTATTCAACATGTATTTGATCCAAATGTTACACTTTAAAAATAATAATTAATTCCCTTATTTTGTTTAAATGAAAAATGTTCTAATGTTTTGTAATATGAATTTTATTTGGTTTACTGTTCTTTAGTCTATTCTGCAATTGATAACATTTTAACTACATCAAATATCAATTATCTAAATTAAATTGGAGTTTAAACAATCATTATTCAACTTTAATATCCATAACCTAATAACTCTTGTATTGGTGCAATTAAAATAAATGCTATCAAACTTAAATAAAATATTTTTTCCTTAAGAACTACTAATGTAACTATTTTAGGAAATGAAGTTTAATTTAACATTACAGATCCAAATGATAGTATTGAGAACTTTGATATTGTATATATGTTTAATTTTACAATCAATCTAAAAAATACACCTTTAAATTTTTTTGGAAATACAAAATTGAAATTAAAAATGAAAAATATTAAGATTTTTGGAAATGAATAAAATTAAGTTAATAAATTACTTAATTCAGACTAATTTGATAGTATTATTTTAGTAAATATTACAATAATTAATATTGTTTTTACAGAATCATCATTTTTCAAAATTGAATCTTTATAACTAGAAGAATAAGTGTAAATTAATTAGTTATTAATTTTTAATTGTACATTTATTAATACTGATCTATTTTTAATTACAAACAGTTAATTATTCATATAAATAGACAACTTAAAAATTGAAAATTGTACATTATTTAATTCATCAATTTTTAAAATGAAACAAAATTAAAT